AGATTTACAGGTACAGGTCGAAGAAGAAGCTTTTCTTGTCACAGAAGAGCTACATCCAGAAGATACTGTCGAGGGTTGGCATGTCTTCAGCAAAGCCCTTAAATACTCCTAGTGCTTCAAATGTTCATCTATCCTCAGCTTATGCACCGCAGTCAGAGGCTGAGAAGGAGTACATGTCGAGAGTCCCATATGCTAGTGCAGTAGGTAGCTTGATGTACGCTATGGTATGCACTAGACCTAATCTTGCACATGCTGTTAGTGTCAGCAGGTTTATGATACAACCTGGGAAGGAGCATTGGCAGGCTGTGAAGAGGATCTTCCAGTACCTTAAGGGTACACCTGATGTGGGGATTAGCTTCGGAAGTGATACAGAGTGCTTGGTGTCTGGGTATTCTAACTCGGACTATGTTGGAGATGTTGACACGAGGAGATCGATTACCGGTTATGTATTCACTCTTGGGAGTTCTGTAGTGAGCTGGAAGGCAACTTTGCAGTCGGCGGTGACGTTGTCTACTACTGAGGCAGAGTATATGGCGTTGACAGAAGATGCTAAGGAAGGAATATGGTTGAAGGGACTGGTTGGTGATCTGGGTCTACATCATGATCAGGCAGTGGTGTATTGCGACAGTTTGAGTGCAATATGCTTGGCCAAGGATCAATTCCACCATAAGAGGACTAAGCACATCGACGTGAGGTATCATTTCTTGAGGACAGAGAAGAGGATTAAGGTGAAGAAGGTTGGCACCGCGGATAATCCTGCTGATATGTTCACGAAGCCAGTTCCACATGGCAGTTCCAACACTGCTTGGACTTGCTAAATGTCTTGAGTGGGTGACTCCGCCCTGCGGGGCATTAATGGCGGGAGAGAGAGAGAGATAGAGAGAGAGAAGGAGCATAGTACATCAGAGATTACAGAGGAAGAGGATTCAAGTCGCTACGACTGATAGTCGGGGGTCTCGCTGTTATTTGGGTTCGGGTTCTAGGCCTGGTCTGTAACCGTTTCCTTTGCCAGATTGGATTAGGTTTAGACCCACATGGAGAAGTACTATAAATACTTCTCATACTCCTATGTAATCTGTAATCTCCTCGATATAGTGAAACTGGCTCTCTCTCGCCCGTGGACGTAGCTAACACGCATCGTGTTAGTGAGCCACGTAAATCGTGTGTCTGTTTTTTTTTCGATTCTCGCTTTCGTATTCTTGATTTATCAATTCCGGCGATTTCCCGATCAGTAGCAGCGCATTTATAACAATGGAGAAGTTGTGTAGATTGTTAGCTCAAGGTAATGGACTGATTGGGGTGCTTTGGTGTTGGTTTGTAGCATTAATTTGCAAGGAACATTGTGCTAGAGTGTTCACAATGGTTAAGAAGAGCAGTAGGGAGTTAATACAACAACTCCAACAAGAAGTTAGACTTTATGGTGAGGGGAACCCTGAGTTTTTTCAGTTGTTGAGTTGTCACCTAGTATATTAAAGGCTTTGCATAAGGTTAGCACTGTGATTATTAGTTAGCAAGTAGAGTGCTTGCAATTTGTAGTCTGCTATATATTGTAGTCATTGCAAAAACTACACTTCTTTTTGAGATGCTTCATTTAACAAGCTGATATAATAAAAGATCGACAATTATCGGAAAAAATATTTCACAGAAATGAACACGTATTCATAGGCATTGAATAATTATTCCTAAGGACAAGAAATATTACTATGTTTCCTGGTGTGTTGTATGACCCACATATTGGGGAGAGATGATTGAGAAGCTGTGTAGATTGTTAGCTCAAGGTAATGGACTGATTGGGGTGCTTTGGTGTTGGTTTGTATCATTAATTTGCAAGGAACGTTGTGCTAGAGTGTTCACAATGGTTAAGAAGAGCAGTATGGAATTAATACAACAACTCCAACAAGAAGTCAGACTTTATGGTGAGGGGCACCCTGAGTTTTTTCAGTTGTTGAGTTGTCACCTAGTATATTAAAGGCTTTAGATAAGGTTAGCATTGTGTTTATTAGTTAGCAACTAGAGTGCTTTCAATTTGTAGTCTGCTATATATTGTAGTCACTGCAAAAACTACACTTCTTTTTTGAGATGCTTCATTTAACAAGCTGATATAATAAAAGATCGACAATTATCGGAAAAAATATTTCACAGAAATGAACACGTATTCATAGGCATTGAATAATTATTCATAAGGACAAGAAATATTATTGAAAAACATATGACCAAGTATAGTGCTTGCAATTTGTAGTCTGCTATATATTGTAGTCACTGCAAAAACTACACTTCTTTTTTGAGATGCTTCATTTAACAAGCTGATATAATAAAAGATCGACAATTATCGGAAAAAATATTTCACAGAAATGAACACGTATTCATAGGCATTGAATAATTATTCATAAGGAAAAGAAATATTATTGAAAAACATATGACCAAGTATTTGTAACATAACCGAACAAGTATTCATAAAGACATAACCTATTATTAAAAATATACGAACTAGTATTCTTTACAGAGAGGAACACATATTCATAAAAAAAATGAACCAATATTCATAATTACATGAACCGTTTTTTTTAATTTCCCAGGAACCTCAACCTCACATGCCACTTTGTGGCAGCGTTGTCTACTAAACCTAGGGAGTACCTGCATCAGCAACATTTCAAGGCCTAGCATCCGATACTTGGAGGAGACTTCGTCTCCAGTACTCGCGGTGCCTCCGGGAACACCAAGTGGTGTAGCGGGGTTCGAACCTGTGACCTCACACTTCTCAAGTCCGAAAGACCACACTCCCGACCAACTCGGCTGTGTTACCTTTGGCAATTACATGAACCTTTTATTGAAAAATATGTTAACAACTATTTGTCGTAGAGACAAAAAAATCCTTTTGAGGGAGGAGAGAGAATAGAGAAAGAAAGAGAGAGGCATTTGGGACAAAAATGAGAGGAAGAAGGAGATGATTTTGTCTTGTTGGGAGGGAAGAGAGTAGAGCTGCAAACGAGACGATTCGAGTAGAGTTTTTGCTTATCTTAAGCTTGCCTTGTTTATAAATGTTTCAGCTCGCGCTCGGCTCGAACTTGAATTTTGATAATCCAGCTCGTGCTCGGATCAATTAAAAATATGCAGCTCGAGTTCGACTCGGTAGAACTCGGTAAATGCTCATTAACACAACTTGTCAAGCTGAGTACAAGCTTGGTTTAAAATGAGCTCGACTTGAAATCATTCTTGCTAAAAAATGTGTCTACATAAGCATCTAAATTATAAAAAGAACACTATAAACTAAAAATACAGCTAAGTTTCATACACTTCCGTATTAACAATATAATTTTCATGTTTAGAAAAGTAATTAATCCTTCTACAAGCTCTAAACAAGCCAGCTCGCAAGCTTAGCTCAACAAGCCACCGTGTCAAGCTAGCTCACGACCTTATCAAGATGAACATGGTTTAGCTCAAGCTTGGCTCCTTTATTAACAACGAGTCAGCTCGCGAGCCGACTTGTTAAATAACGAGTTGAATGTTGAACGAATTTTTTCCGATTCGAACTCCCAGTTGCCCGCGAGCGGCTTGGCTCATTTGCACCCGTAAAAGAGAGAAAGAGAGAGTATGTCATCTATGATGATTTCTTTGAATTGCGAGACCCGCCATTAAGAGAAAGAGGGTGGCTTGATTAGCTTTGCTAAGCTCAACCCTCTTTCACTCACATAAGTGAGCTCAATAATATTGGCCTTAGATTTCGGCTGGTGGAGATATGACCTTCCATCTTGCGACTTTAAGACAATTAATAGTTTGTAATTGGCATCTCAATATCCAAAGATATTACAAAATATAGTTACCAATAATATTAGTCCAAAAATCTCTTTTTTCTCTACCTTTAGAAGTCGATGGTCACTGTATAGTGCGATTAAGAAATATGATTATTATTAGATAATGCAAACAAGAAACAACTTGTTGACACATGAAAATATGGTATGAGTTATTTAGGTGACTCGCAATCCACCCATCACTCACATGTCAAAGCACATATAAGATATTTATTAATCCACAATCCACTCACATGAATCGTCTACCCACTTCAATTCAAATTATTTAAGGTAGGGGTGGAGTTTCGGTTAGTGCGGTTATAACCCGTAACCGGACGGTCGGTTATCGGTTAGCTGAACGGTCGGCCACCTTACCAACAACCGACCAAAATAGAGATTTAGGCTTCGGTTATCTTGTTTTTCGGTTAACCGAGCCACATCCAAGACCAAAACCATCTCGGCCAGCCTTCGAACATCGGCCGAATTTTGGTTATCTCGGTTATCGGTTAGTGGGTAACCGGTCGATTATCGGTTTAACCAGCCGGTTACCCGGTCACCGATAACCGAATGTCCACCCCTAATTTAAGGTGGGTAGATGTCAAATCACGAATTAACCACCCACGTATCTAGGGGTGGCAGTTCTTTTATCGGTTATCGGTTAACCGACCGGTTAAACCGATAATCGGTCGGTTATCCACTAACTGGTAACCAAAGTAACCAAACTTCGGTCGGTTATCGGAGGCTTGACGAAATGGTTTTTGATCTTAAGAGTGATTCGGTTAACCGATAACCGAGAAACCGAAACTTATTTTGGGCGGTTTTCGATAAAAGGAGTGGTTATTTTCGTTAACCAATAACTGACCGATCGGTTACCAGTTATAACCGAAATAACCGAACTGTCATCCCTACCCATATCTACCCTACCTATGAGTAACCATCCGCTCTTCTTTGTTAAACCATCATTACACCTCATCAATGCTCGGAAAAAGATGTCATTGACCCCATCCGGATAAAACCATAAACAAATAGAAATGGACAAGGGACTCATCAAACACGTGGATTAGTATTCCAACCACATCCTCCTTACACATTAAGCTATGTAATAATTAATAGAGTCGACAAGTGTAGGATCACGATTGCCCAAGGCCAAACTAACTAAAATGATTTTCAAACCCCAATTTTAAAAGCAATTTAAATTAATTAAAGAAGCAATTAAAAAGGACAAAAAACTAATTAAGGGAAAAATGGAAATTCCGATGTAGAAACCGAATCACAGTATACATCAGCCGTCCACCTTCCTCAGTTCCCTCCCTCGTCCCAGCTCCTCGCCTCCCACCGCTTCCACTGCCAACTTTCCTTCCCAAATTCACCTCTCACCCTCCAGATTTCTTAGCAATGGACTTCCCCGGCGGCCACAACCACCACCACCAGAGCCACCATCGCAACAACGACGACTACAACAACGATGACGAGCGGCGATCAGCAAATTTCTACCCACCGCCGGGAACCAACGCCTACCCTCCGCAGCCCGCTCCTTACGGTCACAACGAGTTTGGAGCGGGTCAACATTACCCGGCTCCTCCCTCGGCTGCGGTTTACCGCCACGGCGAGGAGGCTTTCTACGAGGCGCCACCGCCACCGCCGAAACCCCATCACGAGGAAACAACCCATGTCTACCACAGTTCCCATGAGTCCTCCCATTCCCATGGCGGAATCGGGTATGATCCCACCCCCAACTATCCTCCACCTGCCGCGACCCATCAGTCCTCTTATGGCGGAATCGGGCACGCTCCTCCTCAGAACTTCCCGGCGCAAGTGACCCACGTCTCTCACGGAGTCATCGGCGGGTTGTCTCACCACACCGCCGGCCCTGTCCCGGGGCTGGATCTTACCAGCAAGCCTTCCTCTAAGGTTTACTGCAAGGGCAACCCTGATTTCCACCTCACCATTAGGGACGGCAAACTGATGCTGGCTCGATCTGATCCTCGTGATCCCTGCCAGGTTCTGGATCTCTACCCAGTTTTGAAATCCAGTTTTCACTGTTTGGTGTTGTGATATGGGTAATAGTACGGTCTGTTTCTCTTTTGCAGTTGCACCTGATTGTTTGTTATCTTGTGGGGGTGAATTGTTAACAGAACTGGTTCAAGGATGAGAAGTACAGCACAAGAGTGAAAGATGCGGAAGGGTCTCCTTGCTTTTCTTTGGTTAATAAGGGCACTGGTCAGGCCATGAAGCATTCCACTGGAGACACTAACCCTGTAAGGATATTCATCACTCAACCATGCCCCTGCGCTATCGAAATTACGATTGTTCTTGAAATGAAATGGCTTGCCTTCAATGGTTTTATCTTGCTTGGTCCTTCAATTGATCACAATTTTTTTTTGTCAATGTTTAGTATTGCTCCGAGTTCCCTTCAACTGATCCTTATTGTGGTCTTTGAATCGTAGCATTGCTGTGAATTACCCTTTACCTAAGTTTCAATCTTGATCAGACCCTTTACCTCGTTATCTGATACCGAGTTCCTCAACTTAGATGGAAATTGGGCTCTGGGTGAAGAACCTCATTCAAGTTTGGGATGCTTTCTTTTTTCACTGAAAGATACTAGGCGGTTGTTCACCATCACTATAGCCTGCCGATGGATCGACAGGAGAAAGTTGTACTCAAATGCTTTTATGACCGTCCAAATATGTGTGTGCAGGTGCAGCTGGTACCTTATAAGCCCGATGTTCTTGACCAGTCGGTCCTGTGGAGTCTGAGCAAGGACATGGGTAGTGGTTTCAGAGCCATGAGGATGGTCAATAACATTCACCTGAATGTCGATGCTTTCCATGGCGATAAACAGTCTGGTGGGGTCCGTGATGGAACCACCATCGTGCTGTGGCAGTGGAACCAGGGGGACAACCAGCTGTGGAAGATCGTCCCACAGTGTAAGTACTCGCCCAAAAAGCTCAAACACAACAATATAATGGAATACCAAGACTGTTTGTTGTTTGGATGTCTGCTCATTCATCTTCTACAATTGCAGGATATGATAAACAAGTGAGATGGAGGAGGTGTTCCTACCAGCAAGCTATGTATGCAATAAACACATGTACTGCTTTGGCTCTGCGGATTTCAGTTCATTTTCTTTGACGCTTGAACTTTTCGTGATGGTGTTTGAGTGTGTCAAGATCATTGTGTGGTACCTGGTGTGGTGATAGCACAATTTGGGTGGCATATTATTTAGAACTTGTGTGGATTATATTTCTCTCTTCTACGGAGTTGTCTTGAACGGTTTTCTTTTTCGGCAAGTCTTGTGTTATGTTCCTTAAGTTTGCTCCCCGCAAAGCCTTGCCACACCATTTAAAGTCAACAATTTTTTTAGGGAGTGATCCATGCCCAACAAGCACAATAGAATAGACTGCTTGGGAATTTAGAATGCCAACTGCTGGTGGGGAATTTCGTTATGGTGTTTATTAGGAGTTGGCGCAAGGATGTATTTCTGCCGATTGATCGCTCGTACTACGCTTTATAGATCTTTTGATCCATGCTCTTTTGTGTATGCAATGATTGTGAAATGCAGATCCAGTAAAACCTTACTCCGACTTCTATTAAGAGCATCAAAACTGCTAGGTATTCTTTTCAGTTTTCGAACTAGAGTCTCGAGCTGGAATGGGCATATCTGCTGCTGGGGCTTTGTGGCAGTGGAGACCTTCGAGATCTCCACCGGAACCCTTGCTAGATTTAGAATCAGAGTTGCGGAAGAAGAGAACAAAATCTTTGATAGAATGCAAGTATATAGGTATCCTCTGTACAACTTTTATACTAAGCTAATCAAATTACCAGTACACACTTGAACTACTAAATACAAGTATCAACCCAGATTACAACAAAATTATATTTTGGTTCCTATACTATATCAAATACCCCCCACCCCCACTTCATGGTAGAGTATGAATATCATACGTACCCAAGTAGCCATTCAACTCCTGAAACTTATAGATTGACAAGAATTTGATTAGAATGTCTGCGATTTGGCTGTCATTAGGTGTGTGAAAGAGTTTGATTGAGCCAGAAGCAATCTTTTCGATGATAAGACGATAGTCGATCTCTATGTGCTTTGTCCTTTCATGAGCAACACGCTGCTCTAAAGCCCCAACCCTTTGTCAAAGAAAATTTGTTTTACATATCATTGTAGACACTTGATTGCTTGCTGGAATGACTTCAATTTCTCCTTCAGAACCTCATACTAGACTGTCTACAACCTCTGGTGAGATCCTTCTTGATCCCTCTCTATATAGAAGATTAATAGGATGCATATTAAATCCATGTACAACCAAGCTCTGATACCATTCTAGATTTAGAATCAAAATTGCGAAAGAAGAGAACAAAAACTTTTATTTGATAGAATGCAAAGCTTTGTATAGATGTCTCCATTATAAAGATTTTATACTAAACTAAACAAATTACCATTTCACATAGTATCTACCCCGATTACAACAAAATTACATTTTGGTTCTTATACTATATATAACAACCGTTTTGGTCCCCTATGTGAGCCCCTCTAGTTCATTGCAAAAAAGAGTCGGGGAGCGGATCAGGTCAGTAACTCTTATAGTAAGTAACCATCAGTAACCTATCCACATCCATATGACATCAGCATCCCCTCTCTCCTGGAAAGTCTTTTATTTTTTCTCATTTAATCTTTAACAGACAATTGCTCTCTCGTTTTAAGTCGAAATTTAAATTTTTTTGCACAGATAAGTCAGATTAAATGTGCTATTTAAAATGATATCCACTTTGATATATTTTTAGTACAAAAAAAAATTGAATAATTTTTTACCAGTCATTACCATATGGTATGCTCATATTTAATACCATATGGTAAGAATACGTATCATGATGGTATGAACATACCAATATGGTAAACAGGTTGAATACATGATAGTGAGAGTATACTAACTGTCATTTACGACTTTCATAATTGTTTACCATAAGTTACCACCCACATACCATAGTGGTAAAGTATGATAATTTTTTGTCCAATATTTTTTTCACCCAGAAATTTGTAGATCCAATAGATCATGATAACTCGTTCCTTCTGAGGAAACGTTTTCAAAAACGACTTAAAAACGAAGAAGTTACCATATGGTATGTAGTTGATAAAAAAAAAGTTTCTCGAAATATATTGAAAATTGATCTCATTTTGTAGAGTATAACGAACTCGTTCCATGTGTGCAAAAAAAAATTGAAATCCAAGTTAAAACGAACAAAATATGAGCCGATTATGAAAACTAGGGAAAATAAAATGTTTTTAATTGACTACCCTTAGATTTGGATTTTCTGGATCCACTTAGATCTAAAGGTCTAGATTTAGTTACTTATAGGTTAGTAACCAATGGTTACTCACCCTATCCTAAGCCAGAGAGTCCGGGAATGGATCAGGTCAGTAACCTTATGGTGAGTAACCATGAGTAACTTGTCCACATCAGCATGACATCAACATCCTCTCTCTCCAAGAAAGCTTTTAATTTTCCCCTCTTTAATCTTTGATGGACGATTTCTCACTCATTTTAAGTCGAAATTTAATTTTTTTGCACAGTTAGATCAGATTAGTTGTACTCTTCAAAATGATATCCACTTTAATATATTTTTCGAACAAAAAAATTGTGCCATTTTTTACCAGTCTATACCATATGGTATTGACTGGTATTGAAATAAAAGCATACCTATGGTTTGAAAAACGTACCATGGTGGTATGAACATTGTATACCACACAATACCACCCCCGTACCAAGGTGGTATTGTATGGTATTGTGTGATATTTTTTGGTCCTGTAATTTGTTCACCCAGAAATTTGTAGATCCAATAGATCATGATGAACTCGTCCCTTCTGTGCAAACGTTTTCAAAAACGAATTAAAAACGAAGAAGATACCATACAATACCACCCCGTACCAGGGTGGTATTGTGTGGTATTTTTTGGTCCTGTAATTTGTTCACCCAGAAATTTGTAGATCCAATAGATCATGATGAACACGTTCCTTATGTGCAAACTTTTTCAAAAACGAATTAAAAATGAAGAAGATACCATATGGTATAAAGTTGGTACCGAGAGGCCATAATTTTTTTTTCTCAAAAAATATTGAAAATTGATCTCATTTTGTAGAGCACGATGAACTCGTTTCATCTGTGCAAAAAAAATTAAAATCCGAGTTAAAACGAAAAAGATATGAGTCAATTAAGAAAGCTAGAAAAAATAAAAATGGTCTTTAATTCTCCTTCCTTAGATCTGAATTTTCTAAATAAAGAGTCCAGATTTGGTTATTAATGGGTGCATAACCCATGGTTATGCACCCTATCTTGAGCCAGAGAGTCGCCTCACCTTCCCATATGATGGTCTTGTCCGACCTTTCCATTTGGTGCAGAACTGTGGTGACGTCATTTGAGGCGACAAGAACAGTTACAATGGCAGTGACAAGAGATGCGATTTGGATGGCAGGAGTAGCGCCAAGCCGCCAATTGCGGAGATTCTGATGAAGAGATTCTGATCTAAAAAAAGTTGTTTTGTTTTCTCTCCGAAGCTCGGGCTAGGTTTTGGGCAATGGTCGCCGCGCAGGGTGCCCCTGCTGATTGGGCGCAATTGTTTGGGGTAGGGGAGAGAAACCAACTGCATTTTGTTGCTCCGACCATCGTGGATGGTTCGCTGGTGATTCCAAGAGCTGTGCGCGATGAAGGAGCAGCTTGATGGCGGACGGTCAATTTCCTTCTCATGCACCAGGTCTGGACCAGCTCCTCCATTGGGCGCATCCTTTTTGGAGAGCATATGTTTATCTTCTAATTCTCAGATCTGAATACACATGACTAGGTGTTCGAGAATGGTCCTTGGCACTATGCAAACAATCCTTTTTTTGCGCCGATGGGATTCGACCGGTTCAGATGAGTCTCAAATTGTTGCCAATTTGGGTAAGGTTGAGTGGACTACCTCTAAAGTATTCTCAGGGGATCCCCTCGACTGTGGTCTAGGGTGTTGAGGATGCGGACTTCACAGCAGTCACGTGACCCTATGATTGATAACCATACATCCGTGAATACCCATTGAATTGGATATTTATTTTTTGAGTGCACCTGCTGTGCTTATTTGTGTTTAATGAAACTCCACCCAACCCGACCCATTGTCGTTTCTCGCTATACTTGGCATCTTGGACTCTGCATGCTTGGCTTCATTTTCTATTTTTTAAACATTGTTGGGCCGGACTGGACAGTGGATTCCATCATTCTTCAAATTGCTTCTCCCCTATAAATTACATACCACCCAATACCCAAAATCTCACCATCATCCACAATCACGAAACAAAAATAACGGAGAGATTAATTAATATATAATAAATAAATAAAATTTAATTTATTTTAATGTCTAACTCATTTTTATCATAAAATAAATAAAAAAATAAAAAATAATATAATTGGCGTATTTTAATTATTTCAAAATTTAACCTACATAATCAATCAATTAATATTAAGCCTCACTCTCTCTCCGATTCAAAATTTAGGTTTCTCCCTCTCTCCTTAAAGCTTCCGACGTCTCAATTCCGGCCGCTCTCTCGGTCGACTATCGTTCTCTCCGTCGTCCCCTGTCGCCGTCGACATTTTTATTCTTTTCATTAACGACATTACTCTTCCTCGTCTCCCGTCGGCCGTCGTGACCCTTCACTCTCTCCATCGAAGACAGTTCTCTCCATCATCCTCCCCAGTCCCCGCTCCAGCTCTCTCCGTCTGCTCCCGTCACTGTCGAGAGCCTTCATCCACCACCCAAGAGTCTTCTTCCATAGGGTCGGGATAGATCTTAATGGGTGTCCTTTATTTCATAGCTTCTTCATTTTTTTATTGGATGATAATCTGGATAAGAAAAGCAAGATGCCGCTGACAGAGCTGGGCCACGGGACCCTTCTTCGTCCACTTTGTTTCCGTATCGCCGAGATGTAGAGAATAAATCTTAGATAAAAGTTATTTTATGGTAAAAATGAGTTGGACATTAAAATAGATTAAGTTTTATTTTATTTATTATTTTTTAATTGTCATGTTATTAAGTTAACGGTCAACTTTGAGAGTTGACTGCCACATCAGCCAAAGTTAACGGAGTTGGACGGAGAGTGACAAAAACGTGAACGGTTTCAGTTAACTGGAGTACCACCAATGAATTTAAATATTTCGAGTGACCAACCATACCATTAACCTAGCTTTTTTATTGATCAGTTCCTTATAGCTTGTATCATTAAGACTGTTGCAGTAGGAATCCATAGCATGCAGTATACTGTCATTCCTGAGGGAGAAACTGGGCAAAGGACATTGTACACACATCGCCGGTGAATGAGCCGGAGGCGTAAGATTTGCAGTCGTCCAGCGCGGTCTTGGCACCAGCGAGACACGGTTGGCAGTGTTCGATGTCGGTTGTGGAGGAACAACTGGCGTAACCTTCAACGCCACCGTAGGTGCCAGGCGGGTATATGGTGGAGTAAGTGAAGTCGTCTTTGTTGGGCGTTACATCCCGCAGTGCAGTGATAACGTAGGTCACGCAGTAACCATAGTTATTATGACAAGGCACGGTGTCCATGAGCGCTGAACTGCCGCATTGTGCTTGAGCGTCGGCGTCGGAGCAGGCATAGCCCAAGAGCGCAATCATAGCTATCCAAACAGCTACTTTGCGAGCAGAAGATGCGTAGCTATACTCCTCCATGATTAGCTATAACAATATGAGTTGTTTTGGTTTGCCGTTGTGGTGTTCTGAGAAGATGGGTTGAATGCCGCTGGCCTTTTTATAGGCGAGCGGCACTAGACTGGTTGCGTACGTCGTTGTCGTGTTTCTTTCTAATCTGCATTGCTAGGTAACTGCCGACGACGAGTCCTTAATGATGCTTTCAGATGGTACTCCGGCCGGCCACCTTTCCTTTCATTTTAACGTACAGGTTTTGTTTCTCTCGCCGGTAGGAGTGTAAGTGTAACGGACTCTACCAACTCTCGTGGCGGTTTCTAAGGCGGGCTTTAATTAATGGGCCATCATTTTGTTCTTCTTAGGTGATTTTCTTATTGTTAACTTATATGGTTATTTTGACTTCAAAACATATCTATTTTCAGATTAAAAATCAACTAGCATCCCGGCCCATGGTCGGAGAATTTGATTGTTATATATTTTCATTTGTTGTTGTCATTTATAATATGTAATTTTTTTTATATAGATAAAAAAAATATAGAAATGAATAACAAATATAAACAACTAATACCGATATTTACAAAGTAAATGGTGTCTATTTATTTTCTATTTTATGTAGGACAACATGAGAGTTTTCTTCCATTACACACACAAAATCAATTTTAATCATAAAAGAAAATGATTGTCCATTCATGTAGTTTAATCAAATATTTTTTTCTCAATATTTACCATCTTTATTCATCACGGTACGTTACAGTTATGAAATTATATCCTGTGAAAGAATATACGTACAAGGCACATTAGAGATTGATCAACAATATGAATAGGATGCTGAAGATGTACCACAATGACGTGAAAACCACAATCGATACAACATTAATCCTACTTATTTTGCACATACTAATATGCTATAGCATTTGTGACCATTTTGCATCCATGCATGAGAGTGTCGTTGTAGAAGCTGTTAGATAAGCCAAAAAATGACCTAGGGTTGTTTGGATGAGGAATTGTAACGGATCAATTTGACACAATGGTCTCGTTTTGAGACAATTGTATCAAATTGTCTCGTTTGCCAGCAAAAAATTTGGATAGATCAATCTGCCTAAGGTATTTTGAATTGATCCATTTTGAGTCAATTTCAATTACCTGGGGTGGGAGTAGGTAATTCGAATTGACTCGTTTTAATTGCCTCATTTATAAAACGAGACAATTGATCCAACTGACTCATTTCTATATTGATCCATCCAAACGACCACCTAGTGCCAAGATTCAGAGTGAGCATTCTTAACATGAGTCAAGGGCTCGAGGCATAAAAGAAAAATAAAATGAGTATTTTGTGCACTACGGAAGTTATACTTAAAAGTTGAGCCTTTAGATGCCTCATTGTTAACTTCAGTATTAATATTTTAATGTGAAAGTAAAGGCAGACAAAACAGTGGGCAATGAAGAGCAAATTGATCTCAAATGCTCAATATAGGGGAGCTCACTTTGAAGACCAAATGTGAAAGTAACTTTGTGCATTCACGTTGCATCTTGTTCTCCCTAAAATCCGTAGCATCTTCAGATGTGAAACAAAAGCCTATAATTATGCTCCCAAAAGAAACATAGGGAAAGACAATTAGATATAAAAAGAGATAGTACCACCATCTATAATCTTAAACACTTGGGGAGAGATAAGCGAGTTTGAAGATGAGAGTCAAAGACATTGTCAAAAAGAGGTTCATTGTGAGAAATTCAATATTAAGAAATTCAATAAGAGTTTTACATGAAAAAGTCTTATGTTTCCTAGTTAATTAGATAGCCAAAAACAAGAGAAATAGTAAAAAAAAAAAAAATAATAACCTGCCAATTTGAAGGTATGATACATGTAACAATAAACCATTAATTTATAGTTTGTGTTCATCGCTGTGAGTTAACCCTTATCCCCATCTACATAAAAATATCAACACAATTCTATCTATGACCATTTAACTAATAGGTTACATATTACAAAGCAAATAACAAAACTATATCATATAGATAAAGATGTTCGCAAACACCAAAATAATAGATCCATCATTCATTAATCCTCAAGCTGTGAAGCATATAATTACATGGAGTTTATCTCCACCAAAACATAAACTAATAGCATGCGGTTTAGATTCAATCATTAAACTAATTATTTATCAAGTTTCTTAACTTAATAGTTAATACGGATATAGATGAATCAAGAAGAAAAATTCTAAAAGAGGAATGTCGATATTCTAAATTAATAATTAGTTTAATAAGTATTTAAGAAATGAAAATGTGAAACTTCAATCTCTCACTCTTTCTCAACCACATTCAAACTGTGCCAGAATCTCCCATTTTATACATTTCTATTTCCTCACGCCGTCAGACACATTCGCTTCTTTCCAAGATGATTTTTTGGTTATCCTATTTCCACTTCCTTCATATACCATTTTCAGACACGACGAATTTGCATTAGACGAAGCTAATATCGTTAATCACGGAGAATAGATTCGATAACTGCCGCTTTGCTTCATATATGTCTGCCTTCTTATTCTTCCGCTACAATCGATGTCAAAGTTTGGAAGATTCAATTATTAACTATTGATATTCAGATTTTAGTTTTAATTGCTTCAGTGATGGTTCGTTCATTGAATGCTTCTCGTTCATATGAGATATATATGGTTAACGATTTTTCTTATGTTGGCAATGTTTCTATTTGTAGATTATTAACAATACATCATTTCACTATTAACAATATGATCCAATATCACAATTGTCTATTGATGTTGTTTGTTCATATTATTGATGTTCATGATATCAGTAATAAATATTATATAAATTAATATTTATGTTGATTAGATAATTATTAACATCACACAAAATGGAATAGATACTAACTCGTATAATTAAAACTAATATCATAATTTTTAAAAATAACTCTATTGTTGTTAAAAATATATGTTCGTTCGATAAATGGTTCTATGGTTGGGATTTTATATAGTTTTTTATGTCTGGATTTTGTATCGTAATCCAAATCATATTAAATTTTTATTTTAATGCGACCTAATAAAACCATTAGTTTAATCTAAAGGCCAAAATTATATTGAAGTAAATTGTATCCAACGATTAGTACCATATATATTATGGAAGCGAAAGTGATATTGGAATCTTCAAGATTGAGGATTTTATTAGAATAATGATAACTTACTTTTTCATTCATGTGTAGCTTGGTGTTATTATTGAATTTATGGAAAACACACCATCCTTTTGTTGTTTGACAGGTGAAAACAGAGAAGATTGGGCGTGGAGACGAATTCTGAAACTTCGGCCAACTGTGCAGCCGTTTATGAGGAAGCAGGGTGATGAAGGCTTTTGAAATGAGAAATGAATGCCCAACTACTTAGTGAGCGCAGTCTGGGATACGATACGTCATGTGAAGAGCAAACAACACTGGTCTGCTCTTCTCTAGAGTAAATTCTAAGTGATGCGTTGGATATCATAGCATGGATTGTGTCCATGGATGTATATTTTTCGAATGTTGTTTCTCGAGGAGTATTGTTAGTAGAGTTGGTAATTTTTTCAGTAGAAGCTCTTGTGATCTCCGAATCTCATATGCAGGTGTGGGTGCAAAGTGAAACACAGCTCTAGGGAGACTTATTGGGCCTCCAGCAGCATAACAATAAAATAAAAAATAAATTAGAAACTGAAATAGAACCCAATGAATTTAAAGCCTAGCGAAAACGCTAAAATCAGTGCGATAGATTTAAAGCCCAACATAAATGTTTAAACGAAGCATTCCAATTAAAATGTGGCAAATGACATTTTTTTCCTTCCAAAAATCACTCTGGTTGGTAGATATTTGAAATTGAAAAAATTTAACCCATGAATCTCCTTCATATATTTTATAGATGGGAGAACAATCTAGAACTAAAATAATCAAATATGAAAATTGAAGTATCAAGCACCATAAAGATACTTATATATGACTTAGTGAGCTAGCTTATTGTTATTCGAAAGTCATCTGTTTTTCAGATTTTAACTTCGTGTATGTTTTGTAATAAAAAGTATGGCTAAATTACATGTTTGGTCACTTGAATTATACTATTCTTTCACGTTTGCCACCCAAATGACTTTTCTTTCTTATTTGCCACTAACTTTATGAATCATTTCTCCGTTAGTCACCGGCCGTTACACTCCGTTAAATTTATCCTATGTGGCAGTCAACTATAAAATTTGACCGTTAACTAAATGACGTGGAAACTAAAAAAAATTAAAAAAATTAAAATTATTTTTCCACCTCATCATTCCAAATATTTTATGTATATGATTTAGATTCCCGAATAGGTCAACCTTTCAAACTGCTGCTGAATCCATGGGCAGGCAAGAGACAACCCTGGCGAACTGAAACATATTACTTACTAGCTTATAACCCGACCCTTTGGCCGGAATGCTCATATTTGATTATTTGAATTTTTATGTTACTTTTAAGTCTATTAACCCGTTTAATCTTATTGATAATCATTCGATCGAGATGATACATACAGAAATAATATATAGGTCGAGGATTCGGAGAAATATCATAATCATTTAAGAATATAAAATATAAAAATGTATCATTGACCCCATTTTCATAATCCTAATTAAGTCCCTGTTAAAATGCTATTGGTTAGTTTTCTTTTACAGTCAAGAAATATAGAGTATAAAATCTCACTGAAATTTTCACACAACCCATAGATAGTTTGAAACTAAATCTTAAACCTCACAATCCTATATAAAGGGTTCAATGCTCTCCTTTTAGAAACAATATGTCACTAATCAAAAAGAAATGGAGAGTTGTTGATTCAAGTCATCTATATAGTAAAAACTCAGCTAAGAGGGGACCATCACAACTTGAGAGCAAACGAAAAAATCAGGGTTATCTCCAATATACGAATAGACTCGATCAAAGTAATAAGGCGCAAAATTAGACACTCTTTATCTATTAGTTCCAGTAGGTTGAATAAAGAAGCGACCTATTTCAAACAATCAATCAATGATTCCTCGTTTTAAGATAGAAATAGGTTATGACAGTTGCAAAAAACATAAACATAAAGATCCAATAGCCACCACTCTCCGTTGTACAACCAAATTTCTATCTCAAGAGGCATATATTCAACCAAAAATTCAATTTCTAATCTTCCTTCTACAACTTCAGTTATTGATGAACTCCATTCTATTCGCCATGAATGGATATCGGAGTTGAAATCTTCTACTCGCCCAGCTTAAAATCCCCAACAATAAAACCGTAGTGCCAAGAGATACCTGAAGATTGATTTTCAATGACAGTCTTGTACTGGGAAGTGAAAGGCGCAAACTATTGCACGATGGATGAAATTTCGGAGGAAGTTATAAAGAGAAAAGAACAAAGATAAAAAAAAAACAAAATTTAAATTTAAATTGAAAAATGCAAGGATACAACAGTAGTTACATAATTAGTTTCTTCCATGTTGGCCAATTACCCATTTACCTTTAGCAAAAATTAAGGAGAGAGCGAGAATTTAAAATTCAGAAAATTACATGAAACTCTACTATGAAAATAGAAGTATCAAGCTCGATAAAAATAAATACGGTAGACTTAGTGAGCTTGCTAATTATGATAAAAAGTCCTCTGATTTTCAGAGATTAACTTTGTCTATTTTTTTTATCAAAAAGAATGCAATAAATTTGTTTAGTGTAACTGGTTGTGATTGTTATCTTTGTTTGAAGAGACACGGGTTCAAACCTTGATATTACTATTTTTATATGAAATAAATAATAAATGTGTAAAGACAAAAATGACCTTCCTACTTTCACTCTCGTTGCAGGAAATTTGAAATGGAGAAAAGTACACAAAACTCTACCATATATTAATGGAGGATTTAATAAAAATTAATTATGAGCGCTGGGAAGAAAATGGACAATGGCAGCCATGAATCGTGATAGTTCTCGAACTAGTCAATTCCCAAATCTTCGCTGCAAGGAGAAGTAAATGGGCAGGAGATTTCGATTTACACGGAGAAAAGGCGGAGGGAGTTCTAGGCAGTCGGTGCTCTTGAGTTGTCGTCGTTGCCCAATTTCCTGTTGAAAAGGCGGTCACCATCGTTCTACCAATCAAATAGTAACCCCGCTCTTCTGGGAACTCACCATCTTCCACCACACTGTTGGGCGAAAAATCAGAGTTGCAATCCCGTAATTCAAGGCTAGGGTAATCAAAGGAAATTAGTTCTCTTTGTTCATTTTCATTCAGCCAACTCTTTCTTAAGCCCAATAGTTCGTTTTCTTCCTTCCTTCATCGATTTTGACTTCAGTTTTCCTTCTTTAAAAATAGCCAAAACCCATAATTTATTTTGCCCCTAGCCTAATTACACACACGGCCATCGATGATACTTTTCATCGGTGTTTCCGGGATCTTTGGCTCGCTCGGTTTCTTCTCACGGCTATCGCCTTTCACCTAGATCACTACTCTGTTTTCTCCTTCGTCGCCGTTGTCGTAGCCGTATCTGCCACTCCGGCTGAAAATCTTTCGCCCCCGTCTCTTCGGCATCCATATGTACAGGCTCTTCTTCTTATGTCGCCGTCTCTGCCTCCACGGGACCCTCTATATTTGCCGTCGTCTCTGCCCCAAATGGCTTCTCTTCAATCGTCCCCGACACTTCAACAGCCATAACTTTTACTATCACTATCTCGGTCTCGATAGGCTCGTCTGTCACAGTCCAAAATCTCAATCGCTTCGACCTCCACTTTCGGTTGCATTTTCACATGCCGAGGCTGCTCCGCTAGGACTACTGTTAAAGGAACCGTTGCATTTTTACATGCCCTATCCAAGCTCTCCTTAGTCTGATGTTATCCCTAGCAGAGGAGATTATCGGCTGATAACTAATTAATTAATATATAAAAGCATAGGTTTGAGTTACTATTTATTAGTGGCTCTCACACTCTTCCTAGTGCAAGTGGGAAAGTTCCAAGGTATTCTTTTACCACACTCTCCATTTTACAACCTTTGTGTTTAGTTATTGTTTGCTAGGTTTTCGTCTATAGTTTTTTGCACAAATCATCGCCTTTTTATTTTATTGTTGTTCGTTAGGTTTTCGTATATGGTTTCTTGCACAATCATCGCCTTTGCGTTTAGTTATTGTTCGCTAGATTTTCATATATGGTTTTTTGCACAAATCATCGCCTTCCCACAATTTTGCAGCTCATCTCGAAATACTATTGGCAGAATTCTAAGTTGTTCCCCACCACTGTTTCCTAAGGCCGCTACCACGATTTTTGTATCGGAACCGAGTATCATCCTCTTTAGTGTTTTTTTCTTTTTTTTCTTTCTTTTGTTGAGCATGATCACATTTGAACCCAAACACATGGGTATCCTAACTTGAACACAAATCAGCACCTTTGCCCACCATTTTGCAGCTCATCTCGAAATACTGTAAACGGAATCCTAAAGCCCTGTTTACTTTCATTTCTGTTTCCTGTTTTTGAGAAAACAGATGTTGAAAACAGGTGAAAACAACATTTTGTCGTTTCCGAAAATAGCAGGAAGTTGCCACTTTCTGTTTTCATAGTTGGAAACGAATAGAAAACAGAATGAAAAGTAAACAAGTTTTCTCGTTTCGGTTGCCAAATTTATGACATGAAAACAGAAAATAGGAAACGAAAATGAAAGTGAACATGGCCAAGTTGTTCCCCATCATCGTTTCCCAAAGCCACTACCATGTGTTTTGTATATGGACTGAGTTTTATCCTCTTTAGTGTTTTGTTATTGTTCGCTAGGTTTTCGTCTATGACTTTTTGCACAAATCATCGCATTTGCCCACCATTTTGCAGCCCGTCTCAAAATACTATCGGCGGAATCTTAAGTTGTTCCCCACCATCGTTTCCCAAGACTGCTACCACGAGTTTTGTATCAGACTATCAGGACCGAGTTTCATCCTCTTTAGTGTTTTTCCTTTCTTTTTTTCCTTTTTATTGAGCATGATCACAATTGAACCCAAATCCATGGGTATCCAACCTAATTTGATCCAGTCAAATCGACTTGAAACAAATTTTACCATTTATAAATTTATTTTTTCTTCTTCTTTTAGTTGGGAAGACAATTGAACCCGAATCTAAGGTTTTGACGAGTGTTGTATTGTGAGCGAGCTTTATCCGCTTTTGTAGTTGGTAGGTTGGACCAAGTGTTAATTTGTCAAAAAAATTTCAAATTGCGGATTGAGCATGTTGTTGACCAGTTTTAGATCGAAAGCGAGTTTTGTACGCTTTAATTTTGTTTTTATTTCTCATTTTCCTTTTCGTTGAGAATAACAATTGAACTCTGGCCCGAGCCGATCAAAGCGAGTTGAACGCAGTGTTGAGAGTTTGGGGTCATGAGCGAGTTTTATCCGCTTTATTATTTTTATTTTATTTTTTTTCCCTTTTGGTTGAGAATGACAATTGAGTTCAAATGCATGGGTATACAACCTAATTCAACCCGACCAAAGCGACTTGAACAGGTTTTCGGCGGGAGCGAGTTTTATTTGTTTTTGTAATTGGCATTTTGTGTCAGGTGTGAATTTGTACAAAACTCGGTCCCACCAGGTCAAAGCGAGTTGAACCTGGTATTGACGAGTTTTAAGTCGGTAGCGAGTTTTAGTTTTAGTGTTTTTCATTTCGCTTTTTCCTTTTGTTTGAGAAAGACAATTGAATCCAAATCCATGGGTATCTAACATAATTTGACCCGATCAATGCGAGTTGAACCTCCTGAAACCTGCAATCAATCCAAAAATTTCATAAAGAAGAACCACGATTACCTCAAACCCAAAAAAATGAAAGCCATACAAATTGAAACATTAGCGACATGAAAGAAGTTTAAAAATTAATAATCTATTCAGCGACCCCTCTACCTTATCCAAGTTCATCGACCATATGCTATTGTAAATAACAAACATATGAAAAGAATGATTAGCAATGAAATAAGATGAATTTCACTTTTGGTTCAACACTAAAATGATTTCTTTTTAAAATATTTATCTTGGTAATACACGAAGTGATAACAAGCGGGCTTTTGCTAGTTTATTTATGTAATTTAATTAATTTGTAATATGATAAATCATATAGACAAAAATAACTGGAATGGTAGTAGTGGAAAATAATTTTTTAATTTTTTTAAATTTTCATGTCATCTAGTTAACGGTCAAACTTTATAGTTGACTGCCACGTAGGACAAATTTAACGGAGTGTAACGGTGGGTGACTAACGGTGAAACCAATCGTAAAGTTAGTGGCGAATAAGAAAGAAAATTAATTCGAGTGGCAAACATGAAAGATTTGCATAATTTGAGTGACAAAACATGTAATTTAGCCTAAAAATTATAAACCTATTTGTTTTGTGTAATTGGTTATGTTTCTTGTCTTTGTTTAAAGAGGCCATGGTTCAAATCTTGGAGCTAATATGTTTTTATACAAAGCAGATAACTAATTATGAAGACAAAAATACCCTTCCTCTAGTTACTCGAAATTTGAAATAGAGAAAATTCAACCTATGAATTTGCTTTATCAAAAATATCATTTATAGCTGAAAAGTAAAACTGCACTCCCCATTCAAAATTTTCTACTCGTAGAGTGATTTTAGGAGGCTGACGTGACAAGGTGCTTACTCGAGATTAAATTAGAAATCCCCGCCTGATGGGAGAGATAAGAAACCGTCTCGTTCCCACTACTTTTTTTTTGCTGAGATCTCCTTACCTTTTCTCCTGGGTTTTCTACGTTTTACATTCTCCTTCTCGCAGCACGACGAGAGATTTAGTTTGCAGAGGACAATTTTGGGAAGAGGGCCTGGCGTTTTGCTGCTCAGCGGAGGAAGACACTAACGGTCCGCTGCTACCGAGTTCTCCGGCGAGAAGGGGTGGTGACGGTGCGGCTCATGAGCATCTGCGGGAGGAAGGTTCTCGGGCACAGGTGAAGGCTGGAAACCCTATTTTTTGTTCCCCTGCCGTCGGTGATCGACGACCTCTTTCCCACGTCCTCCCGCCAAGGGAACACGCGCTTGTCCCCCCTACCGTCGCTCTCAACAAACGAGGAACCAGGGGTGAACCCTTCTCCAGTCAACCACCGAATCTAAGGTGAGTCATGATTTTTGGTGTTTGTTTACTTCGGCTGCTTCGAACAATCGAATTTGGTAGTTATGCGGTGAACCAATCTCCAGCCAACCCCATTATCATGCAATTAGAATCAAACCATTAAAATGATGGGATAATTTACCCTTTTGCTTTTGAATTTTTAGTTTACAATGTTTGGCCGGCAACAAATTTCTTTTAATTTTACTTATTATGCTCCGCATATAGATTCTTTTTGTTTTAATTGGATTGGGATTGTTGCAGGATACGGGTCGTGGGAGGAGTTGCGTTGAGAGGAGCTTTATGATGGCTGGAAAGAAGAAGCTTCAGCTGACGACAATGCCGGTACTCTCTTTTTCTCGACCTCTACAGCTTATTTTCGTTCTTACCCGTTAATTACAAGGAATGATGTGCTGATTGTTTATCTTTTATCTGAATCCGTTGATTGGGTATGCACCTATGAATTAATCATGGAGAATAAGCGGATACTTGTGTGAAAGCATATTGGTTCTGTGATAGTATAATCCGAATCATTAAATGTTTTCCATTGTGTCATAGCATGGGGCTTCTAGCTGTGTGTTGCTGTGTTTTCGAAAGTTAGTTCGGTGATCACAACCAAGATAATGAAGAGCTCAAACAAATGGATAGAAATCTCTTATTAGGACACTAATTTCTCATGTTAGTTGGCCACTTTCATTGGTTCTTCTCCTAAGTAGAGTCGATGATATACTTTTTCCATTTCAGTGATCTCATTGATTAAATATTAATTCTTTGTTTGCGCATTCATGTGATCAGTCACTCTCTCTTTCGGATTTTATTCTTATCTCTACTCTCTTCCTTTCACCCACTATAAAGCACATAAGTAATAATATTATCTGGTTTGCTTATAGTTATACAATGACTTCCAACCTCAATTTAATCAACCAAGGACCTCTTATTCGTGAGAAAAAAAAATTGGAAGTCAGTTCTCATCCACTAAAATTGAAAAATCTGATAAACGAGTGGAGGAATTGTTAGGAACGGAACAACAACAAGAACGAGGTTACCGAATCTGAAGCTGAGTCGCGGACTAGGTCGCTCTCTTTAAGACGTTCGCAGCACTGCCTTCGATGCGCACGACAGACTATCAACCGGTCGTCTCCAGGATAAAACAGCTGCTCTCAATACTCGCGGTTTTGTGCGAAAACCGGAGTTCTCTGAACGCTCTCTCTATTGTGTTTATGCTCGTTGTGATGTGTTTAGAGGGGCTGGTGAGGCGGCTATTTATAGGAGTCGAACCCCTAGGAATATACCCTCTTGCTTGGGGAATAAGTCGGATTAATTAAGAAAGATAATTACTTCCTTAATTAAAACCGTCGGTTAAGATAAATCCTGCGGGATTATCCTTCGAATATTCCTTTTTAATCGATTATCCTTAGAATATTCCTCAGAATAACCAATTAATAATTAATTTCGTTCGGAATTTCTCCAAAAAATATATATATAGTCTCAAGTGAACCAACCAACCAACCAACCAACCAACCAATTGATCGATAGGTCGGCACGCGCGCGCGTGTGGTGTTCCGTTAGGTCCTCCATCTCCCACAAAAGTTGGTCGCCCCAATGGGCATGCTCTTAGGAGAGAGGCTCCTATCTTTATACACATTTCACCAAGTAAAACTACCAATGTGGTAGTTTTTCCACTTGAGACTCTATAGCTTTCAAAGCTATTCATATATACATTTTCAACAATCCTCCACTTGAATAGTTTTGAAACTATCTCTGAGCATCAACAGTTCCATAAGATCGGGCATAAGCTAAGGTATCGCGAAGATTTGAACCTTAGCGTAGTGGTCACACTTCCGATTTCATAAGGGTGACTCGTAGTCTTGAACCCTATCTCAGACAGTGTAGCACACCGGATCTTTTCATTGAGTTGTGTTCTCTTCTTAGCCCGTGCGTTTATGTCCATGCACGTTATCCTCGTTTAGTGAACGCTCTAGCAACTTTGTGCCTCCAAAGTTCCATAGGGAGCGGCCCCACTCCCACATTCACATAGGTGAGTCTATCAGGAGTACCCCCAAAGTAAAGTACTCCACCCCACATAGGGTATAGATCTCATTAAGAGTTATTAACTCAACCTCCATTGCTTTGGGATTCATGCTTCACTATGCATGAACTTTTCCCATACTACTCATGACATGTTATTACCCATTGAACCCATTTCTTGGGATCTCCAGTCTATTGGGTCGGGTTACCATCACTTGTAGTCCGTGGTTCGGTAGTCATAAGTCCCATACCCTTGGCGGTATTCTGGACTTTCTCTCTAGGTAATCCTTTTGTCAAAAGATCAGCTAGATTCTGTTCGGATCTTATATAATCCACCCTCACTGCTCCTATCGTTAGGAGTTCTCTTACAGTATTGTGCTTACGACGAATCTGTCGTTTCTTTCCGTTATAGAACCGGTTCTCAACTTTAGTGATAGCTGCGGTACTATCACAATGTATCAATACCGGAGGGACTGGCCTTTCCCATAGGGGAATCTCTTACAACAATCCTCTCAACCAACTTGCTTCTTCACTAGTCGTTGCTAGTGCTATCATCTCTGATTCCATAGTTGATTGAGCTAGGATTGTTTGTTTCTTTGACTTCCAAGACACAGCTCCACCAGCGATGTTAAGAACATACCCGCTTGTTGCCTTGGAGTCATCTGATAGGGTATTCCAATCTGCATCACTATACCCTTCTAGTACAGCGGGAAACCTTTGATAGTGTATACCAAGGTTTGCTGTTCTCTTGAGGTATCTCATGACCCTCTCTATAGCATTCCAATGCTCTCTACTAGGACAACTGTTAAACCTGCTAAGCAATCCCACGACATATGCAATGTCTGGTCGAGTGTGATCCGCAACACAACGGAGACTGCCAATGATGCTAGCATATTCTGATTGTCTTCAACTGTCTCCAGTGTTCTTAAATAGCTTTACACTAGCATCATATGGAGTACACGCAGGTTTACAGTAGAAATAGTTATATTTCTTCAATATCTTCTCTATGTAGCTAGATTGATCTAGAGAATAACCATTTGTTGTTCTAGTTATCTGGATTCCAAGCATAAACTTCGCTTCTCCCAGATCTTTCACCTCAAAGCTCTCTTTTAACATGGCTTTCGCTTCATTGACCACGTGAATATTTGTACCAAATATTAACATGTCATCTACATACAAACATATGATAGTACAAGTGTTATTCTCTGACTTGCAGTAAATACACTTGTCACTTTCATTCACCTTAAAGCCATGTGAGAGAACGAGAGTGTCAAACTTCTCATGCCACTGTTTTGGAGCCTGTTTCAAACCATATAATGATTTGTCTAGCTTACAGACTTTCGAGGCATGTTCGGGGATAACAAACCCTTCTGGTTGTTCCATATAGATTTCTTCATCTAGATCACCGTTCAAAAAAGCAGTCTTAACATCTATTTGGTGTACCACGAGATTGTTCAATGCAGCAAGAGCAATCATGACACGAATGGATGTTATTCTAGATACTGGTGAATAGGTATCGAAGAAATCTATATTCTCTCTCTGCCTGTAGCCTTTAACTACTAGGCGAGCTCGAAACCTTTCGATTGCACCATCAGGTTTCCGTTTCATTTTTAGAACCCATTTATTACCTAAGACTTTGCAGTCAGGAGGTAAGTCTGTTAGATGCCAAGTCTTATTAGCCTCTAACGATTCCATTTCATTTATAACGGCCTCATTCTAAAAGTCTGCATCTATGGAAGTTAATGCTTCCTGCAAACTTTTTGGATCCTCGAGGGTGTATACTGTAGTAAAATCATCACCAAAATCTTTAAAGATTCTAGCTCTTTTACTTCTTCTGAGTTTATCCTCAGATCCAACACCCCCACTAGTTCCGTTATCTCTAATAGCGGGTAGTACATTACCCCCACTATTTCTCGTTTTAAATGGAAATCGTGTCTCAAAAAAATCACCATCAATGAATTCTATTATAGTACGAGCATTCAAATCGTATAATCTATATGCCTTACTATTGGCCGCATAGCCAACGAAGACACATTCATATGCTCCACTAGCCAACTTAATCCTCTTAGGATCCGGAATTCTTACGTACGCCAAACAGCCCCATGTTCTTAAATAGGACAGATTAAGTGGCTTATTCTTCAAGATCTCATAGGGTGATTCTTTTCTATTTGTTTTTGGAAGACGGTTTAGCACATAGCAAACCGTCAACAAAATATCACCCCACCAAGAAGAAGCAGCTTCAGAATTGAGCATAATAGCCACAACTAATTCTGTAAACGTCCTATTTTTCCGCTCAGCTTTACCTTTCATTTCTGGTGAATATGGTGCTTTGGTTTCATGAATGATACCATGTGAGCTATAGAATTCCTTGAAGGGATTAGAGTCATACTCTGATCCTCTATCACTCCTAAGTCTTTTTATCTTTCGATTGCACTGATTTTCAAATTCAACCACAAATAGTTTGAACATATCAAGGGCTTCACTTTTGTTTTTCATCAAATAAACAAAGCAATAATCAGAGCAATCATCTATGAAAGTGATAAATTATCTCTTGCCAGACCTAGTTAACGTCCCATCTAGTTCACAATATCAGAATGAATTAGATCTAAGGGTTCTGATTCTCTACTCACAGATTTATGAAGCGTTTTTGTTATTTTAGCTTGGCTACAGAAATCACATTTATCAAATTCATTCATTGAGAGTTTAGGGATATGTCCTAGCTTGCTTAAATTCTTCACAATTCGTGTGTTCACATGACAAAGACGAGCATGCCAAAAATTCAAATCGCACACCATGTAAACTGAAGAATTCATCTTATTAATTTCGACATTCAACTTGAACATCCCATTACATGCATATCCCTTTCCCACAAAACTCCCATTCTTAGTAAGGGTATACAAGTCTGCCCCAATAGATTGATTAAACCCAGCCTTATTAAGAAGATATCCCGAAACTAGATTCTTCCTTATCTCTGGAGTGTGCAACACATCCTTGAGCACCATCTTCTTCTCAGAGGCGAAGTTCAGCTCCACTTCACCAGAACCAGCAACCATTGTGGTGTGAGTAGTCCCCAGCAATACTTTCCTGTCAGCAGGTGCTTCTGTGAATGTTTTAAACATAGCACGATTGTTGCATACATGCTTCGATGCACCTGTATCCAGCCACCATCCTTCTGAGTCACCGGTGAGGTTAACTTCAGCGATCATATCTGTGATCATGGCTACCAAATCCTCTTCTGTAAAGTTAACACTGGCAGCAGCGGCGCGGTTTTGCTTAATCCTGCACTTTTTTGCCATATGACCCGGTTTTCCGTAGTTATAGCAGATAAACGGTGGGTCATTCTTAGAGGTTTGGGCCATGACCCTTTGGTTACCTCGATAGGCACTATTCTGGTGGGGGCGGACCTGCTGGTTCTTACTCTTAAACCCTTTCTGGTTAGGTTTAAGAGCTCTAGGGGTGGGTCGTTTAGCAGTGACGACCATCACCTCTTCTTTCATATCCTACTTGTGGGACTCTTCCTCAATCCTTAGGCGAGTAATCAAAATTTCCAGTGAAAATTCTTTGGTTTTATGTCTAAGCATATTCTCAAAATCTTTCCACGAAGGGGACAGCTTATCAATAATGCAAGCAACTTGAAATTGATCGTCTAGAGGCATACCTTCAGAGACGATCTCATGAGCTATTTTCTGAAGTTCGTGGGACTGAACTTCGAAAGACTTTTCATCCACCATCTGGTAGCGTAGGTAGTGGCTGACATCATACTTCTTAGCCCCAGCCTCTTCCGTGTCGTACTTCTTTTCGAGCGCATCCCAGATCATCATCGCGGTATTTTTGTTGTCCGCATAGTAGTCGTAGAGATCGTCTGCCAGGCCGTTGAGGATGTAGTTTTTGCACAGGAAGTCATGCTCTCTTTCCTTAGCAGAAGCAGCCCTCTCCTCATCGTTCGCTTCTTCCGGCAGCTCGACGAGCATGCTGGTGAGGCAGTGTGCCAAATTTTTGGTCGTCAGGTAGAACTCCATCTTTTGTCTCCAGCGATGGAAGTTGACCCCAACAAAGCGAAATGGTCGATTAATATCGACAATACCAGATCCGGCCATGTTGTTCTGTTCAGTCGACATAGCAGCAACCAAACGTCTTAAAATTGTTAGGAACAGAACAACAACAAGAACGAGGTTACCAAATCTGAAGCTGAGTCGTGGACTAGGTCGCTCTCTTTAAGACGTTTGCGACACTGCCTTCGATGCGCATGGCAGACTATCAACCGGTCGTCTCCAGGATAAAACAGCTCCTCTCAAAACTCGCGATTTTGTGCGAAAACCGGAGTTCTCTGAACACTCTCTCTATTTTGTTTATGCTCGTTGTGATGTGTTTAGAGGGGCTGGGTAGGCGGCTATTTATAGGAGCCGAACCCCTAGGAATATACCTTCTTGCTTGGGGAATAAGTCGGATTAATTAAGGAAGATAATTACTTCCTTAATTAAAACCGTCGGTTAAGATAAATCCTGCGGGATTATCCTACGAATATTCCTTTTTAATCGATTATCCGTAGAATATTCCTCAGAATAACCGATTAATAATTAATTATTGGATAATTAATTTCGTTCGGAATTTCTCCAAAAAATATATATATAGTCTCAAGTGAACCAACCAACCGACCGACCGACCGCACGGACAGACGGCGCGCGCGCGCGTGTGTGTGGTGGTCCGTTAGGTCCTCCCTCTCCCACAAAAGGGGTCACCCCAAAGGGGGACAGGTTACGGTGATTACTACATAATGTAGTAATCACCGTGGTTACTAAGGGTAAATTGGGTATGAAAAATAAATTGTATTAATTAATTTTTTTAATAAATTACATTTTAGGTAGTTACAAGAATCTATTAATTACAATTCTCTCTCTTTCTCTCACTTCCATAATCTTTATCCAGATCCCTTTTCCTTATTTTTCTCAATCTTTCTGGAAAAGAAAAAAAAACACGAAATCACTACCAATCCATTAGATAATCACTACCACTTTGAAAAATATCAATACCATTGAAAAAATAAATCTATACCATTACACGAAAAGTACCAATATAAACAATCTACCAATATAAATCTATACCATTTCACAAAAGATCAATACCATTGCAGATTGAATCCATACCAATACATGCAAATTAATACCATTACATGATAATCAATACCAATGCGACAAAAACAATACAAATGCAAAAAAACACTACCACTACGAAAAAATCACTACCAATGCGAGAAAAAAATCAAATCTAGGGTTTTTATTCATCCAACCTTTTCCAGCGAATCTGTCGACCCGAGGAACTCCATTGCTAATGCTCGGGCGAGCCATGATTTCCCAAATCCGGTTGGGCCGTGAAAGAAGAAGCTGGCGAATGGCTTGTCGGCGGCGAGATCTGAATTTGAAGGAGGGATAAAAAAAAAAGGGAAAGGAAAGTGAAAGAGAGGAAAAGAGGAACCAGCTTGTGGGTCTGCATTTTTCCTTCCCTTTGGTTCCTTTCAATGGCGGAAACTTTACAAGCAGGGAAAAGAGGAACCAGCTTGTGGGTCTGCTTGTTTGGGTTTTTTAGAATCTGGCCGGCGGAGTGACGCCGACGGGGGTGGGAGAAGGGAGAGACAGCGGCTAGGTAGATGGGTTGTATTAGGGTTTGAGTATAATATATACAGTAATCAGGTGTGGTATGTTTTCATTTCCTAAATTACCCTTAGCTAATCTTAATCGTTAATTTAAAAATGTAATAAAATAAAGATAATGAATGGTATAGATGTTGGTAGCCACCGTGATTACTCAAAATTGAGTACCCTAACCTATTCCCCCCAAGGGGCATGCCCTTAGGAGAGAGGCTCCTATCTTTATACACATTTCACCAAGTAAAACTACCAATGTCGTAGTTTTTCCACTTGAGACTCTATAGCTTTCAAAACTATTCATATATACATTTCCAACAGGAATTGCTAGGGAAGAACAATCCTTAAGCTGGAGTGGTTTGAAGTATCTAAGTAATCTATGTGTAGCCTGTTCATGAACTGTAGTAGGTGTATCCAAAAATTGACTTAATTGGTTCACAGTATAGCAAATATCAGTTCTGGTATTGCACAAGTATTGTAATCGTCCTATTAACTGTCTATAACTACTATGAGCAGACTCATCTAGTAAAGTTCCATCAGATGCAGAAAGATGAGTGGTAGGAATGGAAGGAGTAGTGGTAGGTTGAGAAGCTAAGAACCCTGTATCAGACAAGAGATCGAGAGTGTATTTGTGTTGACACAAATGTAAACCACTCTCAGACCTTGAGACTTCCATACCAAGAAAGTATTTGAGCTTTCCAAGGTTAATGGTAAATGCAACATCGAGTTGCTATTTAACATGCTCTATTTTAGTCATATCGTTTCCTTTCAGTATGATATCATCAACATATAAACTAATAAAGCTGTAAATGAAGTTCCAAAATACTTTGTGAACAAAGAATAATCACTATGTGATTTCTGATATCCTAGAGACTCTAAAGTGGTAGCAAGCTTAGCAAACCACTGTCGACTGGCTTGCTTAAGGACATATAAGGATTTTTTAAGCTTGCAAACTTTATTTTTATATGAAGGAGAAACTGGTAATCTTGGAGGTAGTTTCATATACACATCTTCATTGAGCCCTCCATGAAGAAAAGTTGTGTTTACATCTAGCTTCTCAAGATGCCAATTGTATATGGAAGCTAAGGCTAAGAGAATGCGTACTGTTGTCAGCTTAACTACTGGAGAAATGGTGTCCTGGTAGTCAATTCCAGGTGTTTGAGTGTAGCCTTTGGCTACTAACCTGGCTTTGTACTTCTCAATGGAGCCATCCTGTTTAAATTTTAGTATGAAAACCCATTTATTGCCTATGATAGGAACATTAGGAGGGGGATCAACAAGAACCCAAGTTTTTGTTTTGGCAAGAGATGAAAACTCAGAATTTACAGCAACTAGCCACTCTTTAGACTTGGCAACTTCTTTGTAAGTTTTTGGTTCTCTAATTTGAGTAATGGCCAAGGCAAAATGTATGTGAGAAGGACTAAGTGATCTGTAAGTTAACTGATTATAGATAGGATATTTGACTCAAGAAAGTAATGTAGATTGACTAACTGGATTACACTTGTAATCTTTGAGTCGTGCTGGTTTGACAATCTGTCTAGTGGATCTCCTTAGTGTTTGAGGAACAACAAGAACTATTGTTTGAGTGAGTGAGGGTGGAGAAGGAAGAACATCTGATGAGAAGCTGAGTAGCGTGGAGGATTATTTGCAGTATATGCTTTAGTAAAAGCATCTGGTGGTGGGAAATTCTGCTTTGTAGGAGCAGTAAGCTGTAGAATCTGATGCTGATAGTGTTGCTGTTGTGGATAGAGATTCATGATGCTAAGCATCTTTTGATATTGCTGCTGAAATGTATGCCAATCAGACTGATTGATCACCACTGTCCCAGCAGATGAGGATCCAAGATCAGCAGAAACACTGTTAGCCTGCCTAGTTGGCTGTTTCTTCTTAGATTGGTATCCAGGAGGATATCCATTCTTCTTGTAACCAAAAAAATCTTCAGTATGACTCGTATATCCACAGAATGTGCACACAGGCTTCTTGCCCTGTTTCTTAAATCCCTGCCCAACACCTTGAACACCCAAATTCTGTCCTGAAGCCTTAGTAAAGAAAGCCATGCTCTCTGAAGCAGGATTGGGGTTAGCGTGAGGTTTAGGTAGTAAACCATTCTCCCTTTCGTGTTGCACCATCATAGCAAACACCTTGTTAATATGAGGCAAAGGATCTAAGAGCATAACGGTGGATCTTGGACCATTGAAGCTATCATTGAGGTTGTGCAAGAATCTAAAACCCTTGTCATTCATGTAATCTTTGCGCAAAGAGGCTAACACACAATGACAACTGATTCCACAATCACAATCATGAATGAATCTGTAATTGGCTAACTGATCCCATAACGCTCTTTGCTTAGAGTAATACTGAGAACCACTCATAGTACCTTGCTTGAGGTTAAAGATCCCCTCTTGAAGATCAGTAGTGCGGAAAGAAATCCTTGCGATAATTGTTCACGCAGCTCAGTCCAAGCACCAATGGTGGTGGTAACATATAGAATGCTCTCGGCGATGGTGGGATTAACAAACCTTTGAATCCAGCTGAGGAGCAGTTTGTTGTTGCGATTCCAAGACTCGAAGAGTGGAGAATCGTTGTTAGGCTGATGGATTTTTCCATTCAGAAACCCTAATTTGGTCTTGCCATCGATGACCAGAATCATCGATTGTTCCCAGCTAGAGAAACTGTTCTCGATGAGCAACTGTGAAACGAGACATTGCCCCCAATTCTCCGAGGGATGAATGAATAATGGTGAGGCGGGATCGTAAATCGGGACGCCTTTGTACAGAATCACACCAGAATTGCTCTGACGACCTCCATTATGAGGATTTGCGCCTTCGTCGCCAGAAGAAGAAGAAAATTGAATCGCCATAGGAGGACGATGTCAAGAACTCGAAGAAGAGAGAAGAGAGAGATGTGAAAGCGAGAATGAGAGACGAAATCGGCTCAGAAGAGCTCTGATACCATGCTAGTTTTCTGAATACACTTCTTTATTACTGAATCAATCGAAGAAAACGTACTGAATCCAGATCGAGAAGCTGGATTTATACTAAAGTTTATCGGTAAGAACCAGAGGAAGGAAGACCGTTGTGGTCGTAACAACCTTGGTTAATTTACCTTTAACTACCTACACTATCCTAATTACACACTTTCTATACTATACTAATTTTAAATTACAATTTAACTTGTATCATCTAATATCTGCTACCGATCGGGTTTCGTCCGATTACCGCTAAACCTAGAAAGAGAATCGCAATGACTGAAATTGGCAAGAAGAAGAAGAACAAGAAGCGGGGGTAGGGAAGAAAGACCCAAGAGAAGAAGCTTTTGGCGGGATGGGTTTTTGTCCGCCGCTGCCGGAGCGATTCGCGAGGTACGTCGACGAGGTTAGAGGGACGGAAGTGAAGATGGCCATTCAGAAGCAGCTGTCGAGGGGAAGAAGGGTTGGGTAAGGTTGGGGATGTGTGGGCCAAGTGAGGATAGAGAATGAAGATTTTTTTATTAAATTATTTATTTTTCATATGGCCTCCATGTCAGTGTAGCATGCTGATTCACTAACGGTCAATGATGTTGACCGTCTAATTTGACGGAAATTCACGAGTCGGCCCGATTGAGTCTATATGGTGCATAGTTTAGGTCATGATGTTAATTTCTAAAACCACGGGTCAAAGTTGATTATATGGTTATAGTTCGGGCCATAATAAGGTATTAACCCTTTTTATTATGCAGTATGCAGCAAACAAGGTAAGGTCAAATTGCCCCATAGAGAATCCTCCCCATTTTTTCAAGACACTACGCAAAGGTGATACTCCTTTAGTGCATCACTTTCGTACAAACATTCGAGGCTATAATGGAGTCTTCTGCTTTGTTTCCATCGGAGGTAAATTGACTCATTCCATTAGTTTTGTTTTTCTTACAACCGCATGTGGTTACCAACTTTTTAACAAGCAATTAATTTATTTTGCAACTGAATTCCTATAACATTTTTTTAAAGGAAATTAATATATTTGGAAATTGCATTTTGTTATTAATTGATAAAAAGAGTATAGTACTAATGTCTTCCATCATTTGGATAGTTATTTGCTGACGAGAAAGATGTGCATTATTAATAATTTCATGACTTAATTGTTATATATATATATAAATCATCACTAAGCTAGTGTATAGTATAGATAGATAGATTGTTCCGGTTGGTAACGACAACAGTTTTGACCAGGTCAGACCAAAATTTGATAATTATCCGACCCAATAAAAAAAATTAACATAATTTCAATTCATTCTATTTCGTAGTAGAAACTTTCTTTTTATTTCGATTCTATGATCTTACATAATTTAAGTAATCCTATTGACATACATTCACAATCAAGAGAACATGTAAAACTCATATAGTCCCATGAGAAAATAAATCAATTTGTTATCGAGACACACTTTTAATGCACAAAGTTCAATGAGTTCAATAACTATGTAAGATCACAAGCTCATGTAAATGGGGCTTCCCCTAACGATGACATCAAGCATTGGTCATATAAACAACAAAATTCTCAAAAGAATGACCAAGAAGGGTACTGCTTAATATCTTGCACGACTGATAATTGGCAGAAATCCTCAACCAATATTATGAGCGACATAGTAAACACAGAGCAAATGATAGTGAACATATAACGGGTAAGCACCATGTTTTTGCCAGAAACAAATCATCATTTAATCAATACAAAACAGTTAATAGTCCATTTAAGTAGCCAACATGAGAATTCTAAACCCTTCAAACATAATCTAACCAACTTCAAAAGTACACCAGAATTTACATTTCATGAACCCAGAACAGGCGACTTCTAACTTTGATGAGAATCACAAACGAATCAGTCAAGAACATTGACAATAAGCATATATCAAATCAACAACTCAAAATTTCAAGAGACAGAGTACGAGATCAGATATCAAACCTTTAAGAACAAACCTTGTTCAGACACCAAGCAGGACAGTAACCATATATCAATCATCCTTAAAGAGTTCTAATGCCCATCTCACAAGGTTATAGATGCAGAAACGTAATTTGATCTCCGAAACTTGCTGATGACTGAAGCTTACTGATGATTGAAACTTGATTTACCATTCTATCCTTCCAGATAGAGTAGCGTTTCCCATAAAACATGGGCGGATAGGTGATTACAAAATACCCAACCGATGACGAAGAATCAACTGAGATACCTTGAGGATGTTAATCCTAATGACAAGTAACCGGCTCTGATACCAATTTTGATTCTAGGATGGGTTTAAACGATTTAGGGTTTTTCAAATTGAGAATTGAAGAAGTAAATCGAAAGAGATACTTCTGGAATTGATAATTTAAACGTGGTCATTCTGCAGTTTTATAACTGCTTTTAACAAGAACAACCAAAGGAAAGAGGCAAATGAAAAGAAAAACAAGTTCTGAAGAACTCAAACAGAGGGGAATTAAAATCAATCTTCCCGCTCCTATCTACCCAGAAACCCATCTCTGTAGAAAGGGAGGAAGAATGAGGATAAGATCCAAACACTCCCAAGAGATAATCCCACATATAGTTACCCAGATTAAACCCAATCCCCTGTAACCTATCTGACTGACATCTCTCCTAGGGAGGAACCCTTTGCAACCCAAAGCTTCTAGCTTTCCTGGTGCAATCCATTGAGCAGAGGAAGACGATCTTGAGTTACTTAAATAGCCCATTCAGATGATCGTTGGAGAGGCTGTCCATTGAGGGTTGATGATGATGATGCTTCTTGAAGATTGAATCCCATTGAAAGGAACGAGAAGCACACATGCTTGAAGAAAACGAATACGGAATAAGAACACGGAAGCAGGATTTACGTGGTATCCCTGTTTGATGTGAACATGTTTAATCCACGAAGAGCTCGAAGGAGCTCTCGGTTTGACGATCTTATCATTGATCAACTGACTATCTTGCTACTTACAGGGAATCGCAGCAGAGATATATATATGGGTGACTTGAGTTAAAACCCTAACACAACTAGGCTTACGTATCCTTTAATGACAGGAGCAGGAAACATAGCTTACAAGACAGCTGCACTAACACAGCTACAGCACGACGTCGTGCTCAGTAAGACACACGTACACGAGACTTCTACACTCCCCCTCAAGCGAAGGCGTGAATGTCAAGAATGCCCAGCTTGACCAAAAATCCACGAAAATGATTGCATCCTAAACCCTTGGTGAAAAGATCAGCAGGTTGTTCAGACGTCGCAATCTTACAAGGAGATATATTGCCAGCAAGAACGCGTTCCCGAACGAAGTAGCAATCCATTTCGACATGTTTGGTGCGCTCATGGAAGACAGGATTAGCGAAGATATGGACGGCAACCTAATTATCGTAATAAAGGGGAGTGGGTGCAGCAGTTGGATGACCATGCTCTGTCATCAACCATCGAACCCATATAAGCTCACTAGCAGCAGTAGCCATAGCTCAGTACTCGGCTTCAGGAGAAGAACGCGCCGCTACAGACTGTTTCTTTGTACGCCAGGAAATTGGTGCACCGCCAAGTAGTATAAAGTAACCAGTGGTAGAGCGACGTGAAGCAGGGAAACCGGCCTCGTCGGCATCACAGTAGCTAGTAAGAGTGAGAGACAGAAGTTAGGGAAAAAAGACCACGACCTGGCGATTGCTTCAGATACTTAAGGATGCGAACTGCGGTAGAGACGTGCGCTTGAGTTGCCGCATGGACAACTTGACTAAGTATGTTGACTGCATACTGTATATCGGAACGAGTCACCATTAGATAAAGAAGACTACCCACAAGACGATGATAACTGGATGGATCAGTAGCTGGCTCAGACGGGAGGCGACCAATGTGATGATTTTGCTCAATTGGGGTTGCGCAAGGACGTGCGCCCTCCAATCCACCTTCAGCGAGTATGTCCAAGACGTACTTACGCTGGTTTAGAACAATGTCCTTGTGAGAGCGAGCTACTTCGATACCAAGAAAATATTTCAACGACCCAAGTCTTTGATGGTGAACTTAGCATGGAGAAAGTCTTTCACATCTTGAATGAACTGAGCATCATTTCCAGCTAAAATGATATCGTCAACATAAATTACTGCGGCAACGAAGCTAGATCCAGATCGATGAATGAAAAGAGAATGGTCGGCCTGACTCTGGGAAAAACGAAAACTCAGTAGTGCACTAGTCAGTTTCTGGTACCAATTTCGTGAGGCCTGACGAAGACCATATATCGATTTATGCAGGCGACAAACACGGGAGTCACCTGGAGGCGTGAAACCCTGTGGTATGTGCATATAAACTTCCTCATGAAGAACCCCATGCAAAAAGGCATTGTTGACGTCCAACTGTTCAAGAAACCAATTTTGACTGACTGTGAGAGCTATCAAACACCGGACAGTGACTAACTTTGCAACAGGAGCATAAGTATCGTGATAGTCAATCCCTTCTACTTGTGTTAAACCTTTAGCTACTATACGAGCTTTGTATCACTCCACGGATCCGTCGGGCTTGAATTTCACCTTGAAGACCCACTTACAAACAACTGCGCGCTTCCCGGGAGGTGGTACAGTAAGTGACCATGTACCATTTGCTTCAAGCGCTGCGATTTCTACTTGCATCGCCTCTCGCCAGTGTTTATATCGGAAAACTTCGCTGAAGGAGGTAGGGTGACCTTAATCATTTTCTCCACTCTAAGTTTTCAGGAGTTGATTCTCGTGCATGTGGTTTTTTTAACTTTTTACAAAGACAATTGTCAATCAATTAGTTAGAATGCTTGGAAATTCTATAACTGCCATTTTTTGTACTTCTAGCAACTAAAAATTTGAAAATTTTTATGCTAAAAAATAAAACGTGTCTTACTTCATAAACGTATCATTATTTATACCATTGAAAAAATTCATCCGATCAACGGATGTGATAGAGTTGTACTCCAAATTGCAGAAGGAATGATGAAGAACAAGCTCGAAGAAGAACAAAGAAGGACGAAACATTTTCATTAAGTTATGCTACGTCGTTTTATTACTAGAGAGTTGTAATAGGAGTTAGCCCGTTTAATACACTGTTTAAACTTTAAATAAACGAATGGAAAACTGCCAAGTGGCATTGCTCTGTTATCCATTTGTCTTTACATTTTAGCTGAACTATAAAATGTAGAGGATGATCTCAGGGGAAGCTGAAGATCAATCCTTCCACAAAACCCTACTAGGTTTTCTCTGAGGACGGGCCCATATCTAGTTTTATGTTATAGCTTGTGAACGATTGTTAATTAATAGTTCTATAATAGTTAATCGTCGAACCATCAACCACAATTTTTTTTGGTTCAGCATCCATCCGATTTTGAAATTGGATAACGAGTTGAGATGGGGAAGGGTTTGCGGAAGTATATACTCAGGACTCAGGTGGTTGATTTGGGATTGGAATTGAATTGGTTTGAGGGTTCAAAGTATACAGAGATGAGAGAGGAGATTATTTAGGGAGAAAGGTACTGATGGTAACGGATTTAAATTCCTGAATTTCCAGAATGTCAGATTCCTGAAACCCTAGTCTACATATATAACCTGACCCGGACTCCTGTTTCTTCTTCCCCGATCTAGTTTTGGAGTTCCGGCTACTACGGACGAGATCGACGAAGGATTTATACTCAGAGCTACCGGAAGACATATTGGCCAAGATCGCGAAAGATCACTTGTTGAGCTTCTCCCATCTGATCCCTTTCTCCGGCATGTGCAGATGGTGGAGAACCGTCGCTCTCAAATAACTCTACCTCAACAACTACCACTTTCCATGCCTTGATGAAGTCCAAAGGAGTGGTTGATCTGAATCAACAAGAAGAAGAAGTGCAGAATTCAAAAGGAAAGCAGCAGAGAGCTTAATAGAAGAAACTTGTTAGTTGTACGGAGCATTTTATTCTGTAGTTGTTGTTAGTTATTTACAAAGCAATAGCTCTTTGACATCTGGCTATGTTACCGTTGAGATACAGTAAATTCGGATTAGTATATATATATAAAAAAACCCAACACGAGATAAGCTGAGGAATTCCAAATTCTCTTCTTCCTCCTTTACTTTCTGATTCACAAATCCTTCTACAGAAAGTTTCATGGTATCAGAGCAGATCTAAGGGATCATGTCAGGGACAAGGAGTGGAGGTGCTAATACTCCACCCAATACTCCTCCGGTGAATTTTGGGTCTTTCCAAGGCCAATCGACGAACACTCAAGGCAATAGCAACCGAGCTGCAGATCTGAATTTCGGTAACCCATTCTACATAAACCCTAATGAGAATTTGGCTCAATCTATAGTACCCATTGTTTTAGATGGTCCAAACTATCAGACCTGGTCTAAGGCAGTGAAAGTGGTTCTTAAGACTAAGAACAAACTAGGTTTTATAGATGGGTCGATTGTTGCTCCGAACAGAAATGACAATTTGTTTCAGATCTGGGATGCTTGTAACACAATTGTACTTTGTTGGATTACTAATTCTCTAGAGAAGGACATTTCAAGAAGTGTCCTTAGTCATGATAATGCTCGTGCTTTGTGGAATGAGCATAAGGATCATTATGGTCAAGCTGATGCACAGAAGCTCACTAATCTAGAAGATGAAATCCATTCTACTAAGCAAGGAACCAAGACCATTACCCAGTACTATACACATATGAAGGGTCTTTGGGAAGAATATAGTCAGTTTAATCTTATAGTTCCCTATGGATGTTTACCTGGAAACCCATTGCCATGTGCTGCTGTAGAGCCATTCAGGTTGAAACATAACACAGATTATCTCATTCGATTCCTTCGTGGGTTGAATCCTGAGTATGACTACATCAGGACACAGCAGTTGATGCAGAAGGCGTTACCAACAGTTGTACACGCATTTCATGATCTGTTACAACATGAACAGAAACTCAAGGCTGAGGGGAATGGAGCTGGTAACAAGATATCTCAATCAGTTGCACTGACAGCTGGTTCTTATAGTGGAGCTGGATCTTCTAATGCCAATTCCACAGCCAAGAGTTCATACAAAGGAAGTGGAGAAACTGGTACATACAAAGGAAGTGGAGAGAATGACCAGTTGTTTTGTAATTATTGCAAAAAGACAACCATGTGATTAAGGATTGCTGGAGACTCAAGAAGAAGAGACATGATAGATAAGGGGGAAGCAATAGGTTCTCTGGTGTTGTGGGTCAAGATGCAGATGTTGAGTGAGACAGAAACTTACAAGTTGAAGTTGGGAGTCATTTTTCAAGCAATTCTGGTGGTTTTACTGCAAAGGAAATGAACAAACTAAGAAGCCTTCTGCAGTCTTCAAGCTCCAACTCACCAACCTCTCCTCAAAGTCCTTCAATCAACCATAGGTCACATTCACTGACCAACTATCTACCTCAATTCCCAAATTATGGAGGTAAGCATGTTCTGTCAACATATCAGAATCATAAAACTTTACAAAACACATGGATATTTGACACTAGTGCATCAGATCATATTGCTTGTTATATTTCCCTCTTTGATAGTTGTTATCCAGTGTCTGAATCTTTGTTTATCTCCCCAATCTAGCAAAGGTTCAAGTCTCTCACATAGGTTTAGTTAGATTATCTCCACATCTTTTCTTACATAACGTTCTTCTAGTTCCCAGCTTCACCTTCAACCTTGTGTCTGTTAGTAAGCTTACACATGATCTCCCCATCTCACTCATTTTTCTATCTGACCTTTTTCATGTCCAGGACCTAGTGACCAGCAAGAGGATTGGTTTGGAAAAATAAAATAGAGGCCTATATCATTTCATTCCAGACCACCCTACCATTCCAAATACCACTCCTCAAGTTGCTTCTGTTTACAATTTTGAACCCCACAAGATTGAGTTGTGGCATTGGAGATTAGGCCATCCTAGTAATAGTAGTATTATGCTTATTAACAAATGTAATCCAGTTGTTCCTGTTGAGAGAGTGAAACACTGTGAGCATTGCCATTTGTCTAGGCAGAAGAGATTACCATTCCCTTTGAGTGATTCTAAAGCTTCAGCATATTTGTATTGGTCCATTTTGACATTTGGGGACCATTATCTATCAATTCACATGATGGTTATTTCTACTTCTTAACCATTATTGATGATTACTCTCGTGTTGTTTGGGTTTACTTAATGAAACAAAAATCTGAAGCTATTGATTGGTTTTTGTAGCATGGTTTCCAATCAATTTGGAAAATCAATGAAAACCATAAGGAGTGATCAGGGCAAGGAGTTCTATATGTGTAATTTTTACCTTAATCAAGGTATTGAACATCAAACCTCCTGCATTTATAAATCTGAACAAATGGGAGGGTAGACCAAAAACATGTGCCACATTTTAAATGTGGCACGTGCTTTGAGATTTCATTCAGGTGTACCTCGTAATTTTTGGAGTGATTGTGTACTTCATGTTGTGTACAAAATCAATAGACTACCAACTCCTGTTTTAGAGAACAAGTCTCCCTATGAGATACTGTATCAGAAACCTCCTTTCCCAGGAAGAACAAAACTGGATCCAAGGGCTAGACAATGCATTTTCCTTGGACTTCCAGCAGGGATCAAAGGCTATAAGCTGTTTGACCTTAATTCACATGACTTCCTAGTGTCTGGGGATTTCATATTTTATGAAGACATATTCCCTTTTAAGACATTAAACCCAATTCCAGAAGTAGATAATCAACATGTTGAAGATACTTTCTCACCTGTCTTTCCATCATTTCCAAATGATAGTTCTCCTCCTATCAGCAGTCCTGCTGCACAGGGTCATGTCAATAGTTCTTCCAATCTGTATTGGACCATTAAAAAACCGTTAGATAACTGATAACTTGTAAAAAATAATATCATAAGTAGAAGACAAATAAAGTAGTAATTTAATAATTTAATCAATATTTAATTTGTAGGTATCAATTACACACTATATATATAAAACAAACCCTACCCCATCATAAGCAACAATGCCGCTTCCCCTCCCCCCTTTGTTTCCTTACAACCATGTCCTCCCGCCGTTCTCCTTCTTTCCTCCTCTCACCGTCACACCTATCTTAAGCCATTCTATCTCCTTCTATAAATGCTCTAAAATCCATCATCACCTTCAGTTCTTACCCTCTTTCCTTAACCCACACATGCTTCCTCACCCCCCCCCCCCACCCGTGAAATGCCTCAATTAGAACTAAAAGCTACATAAAACCCACCATTTCCGCCACTCTGATCCCGACCAACCCTTGGCCGATGAACCTCGTGTCGTACCAGCCTTCCCCCACCTTCTTCTCCTCCCCCAACGTATTTTTATAGTTTTTTGTTTCAATTTTTTTTCATAATGAACGATTTGGTGCCCAAAATTGGTCAAACGGCTCGAGCGACTTGAACGGTTAAACGTTTCAGCTATTCGTCGACAACCCTTACCAACCACTGCGGTCTCCAATGTGTCCCTACCTGGATTCGCGTCAAGGTGCCAGTTTTACTAGTCCGACCGGCCGATCCTGGTTGGTTTTGATAACACTGCTCCGGGTAGTAGAAGATTTTATGGTCGACCAGGTGGGCTGGAGAGAACTTTGAAGGAGATAGAGGTGTCTCTAACGTTCAATCGTTATCCCTACTCGAAGACAACCCCATCGACATGAACACGCATACACAGGCCACCCAAACAAGCATGTAAGCAAGAGAGATTAACGAGCCACACAACTTAAAATTTTCAATATTGTTTGATTCTCATTGTTACTTCAATTTAGCAGGATAGGATTGTAATCCGACTCAACTTGATGAAGACTTAAAACAAGCTGACTAAAAGCTAGTCAAAATCGAAGAAGATCAACACTCTTATCAATTATGAAATTAGATGGGTAATCTTGCAAAAAATGTAAGAAAATGAATAAATCATAAACTATGAGAAAATAAATACGAAAATCAAAGTAGTATTTTGCTTTCAAATAGATATATAAAAGATTCTAGTTATATAAAGGACTCGATGATTCAAGTTGCTATGCAGTATCAGTTGGGTAACCCAATTCTTGAGGTTGTCAGTGATGGGTCTAACATGCAAGTGATAAAAGTTCCAAGATGCTCTAGACTTGCATCCATAGACCATAAGGTCTTTTAATGCTCAACTATTCACACTATATCATTCATGCTCGAACAATAATAGTTAAGACTTTTTAGGGTTGTTTTTAGTACAGCAAGTAATGAGCATCAAAGTAAATAAATCAATGAAAAGTAAATTATTTTTGGGGGTTTCTCAAGTTATATAGATGCATAAAAATAAAGATACGTTATGGATTAAGAAAACATACTCGAGTCCTATCACACAAAACAACACTCTTTCATATAATGTGTCGATGATTCATCTATAGCATCACTCTATCCCTTCTAGAAATGCCATCCTACTCGAGCTTTTGCCACATGCAATAGGAACTTGACTACCTAATGTGTTATTTCGCTGCATGTCATCACCTAATCAATGAAGAATAGATAAGTGAGGATATCACATGATTAAGTATGGGCCTCTTGATCCATAATCGATGATCTATAGAATCAATGATATAACAATCAAGTACTGATACTACTCAAGGCATAGATGGTTGATCATTCCCTCTATACTCGTGTAGATATTGGCGGTATCACTAGAGAGTAATTACTTTGCAACCTAGATGATCCTAAGAACAATGCATATAGTAGAATACTATAGAATCACAAGCATCAATGATAAGAAACCATGCATTCATACTAGATAAACATGAATGATTACACATAAGCATCGAAACCAAAAGAATCCATACACACGTGATAGGCATCGAAATTCAATAACATAAACACAAGCATCATATGAAATCATAGCTATAATACATATAAAGATAAATAATTTAACATTTCTACACAATAAATTTTGAACTAGCAATACATAGAAGAGAAGGTGGGTACCACCATCGATAATGAAGGCATCTCTTTAGTTGCACCCTATCCTGAGAATGCTAAGCTCTCACTCAAATAGAGTTTCTTCAGAAGATTTGAATGGAATTTTGAATCGTACTGAACTAATGTGTCTAACTCCATATTTACAGAGGCAAAGCTTGGCCAAAACCATCGTTACCCTACTAGGACTCGGTTTCTCTAACTTAGGGCTGAAACAAGGCCTTCTAGACCTCATTTGGACTTGGACTCGGTTTCTCTAACTTCACACTCCCTCACATGCCTCTTGTATGTCCATTCCTCTTTCTCCTGCTCTAGTCTCTTGTTTTGAACATTCATTTTTTCTTGAGAATAATACCATTTTGGACAATTTTGAAGAATGTCAAAACAATGCTCAAAAGCAAAATCTTTGTTCCATTCTCTTGAGAATATATTGATTTTGCAACCTTTTCTATTAAAATTATGGGTAATGACTATTTATTAGTCAAACCTTTTTCGGATTCTTTTTATCAGCCAAAACTATTGAAATGCTACTAATTAGCCAAATGTTAACCCTCTGTTAACTTTTTCATTTGATGACGGTAAGTTGTCATATGTAGTGCTGAGTTGGAAGGCATATTCTGATGTGACAGATAAAAAATGCTACATCAGTCGGTCAACCATTGATAATCTTTTCAGTATTCTTTTCTATTAACCAAACCTATTAAATTACTAATAATTAGACAAATGTTAACTTCCCTTTAGCAATTTTTTAGTAATATTGACTAGGCAACATGATACTGACTTGGAAGAGAGACATGGAGATCAACATTCCATAATTTTAGTATTTTAACTAAGAAAAGAGTTACAAAATTATTAAGGATAACGTAAAAATGACTAATATTTTGATGCATTACAAAAGATATGGCCAATTATTAGTAATTCAATTGGTTTGACTAATAAAAAAGAATGCGAGAAAGGTTTGGCTAATAACAGTGTTTATCCATTTTTATTTTATGCATTAATGAGGTGGCAGCTAAGTTGGACGCTGAGGAGGAGCACTGTTAAGAAATAGTTAACGGTAAAAGACTAAGGACTTTGCTACGGTGACATGCATGTCACGGTGACATGCACTTTTCGGTCGACCTCATATAGGATTAGGTCGACCTAATCTGTTGTTTCAGTGTAAAAATTGTTTCATCATGTCTACTTTGGAGATTCATATCTTACAATTGGCTAGATGGAAATTAGAGATTAAAGGCTTGTTTTGAAGCTGAGGTGTCCCTCTACACATTAAAGTACTTGAGAGCTCAATATAAAGTCCAGAAGATCATTTTTGAACCTGACCAAAAGGCTATGCCAAAACTGGGAAATTGCCTGAAACTGGCTAAGTCTGGCAACGTGTTTGTCAAGCCTACTTTGGAGCTCAATTTGAGAAGCATGGATGCGAGTCAAGTCCAGGGGCCTCTACCACGTTAAATTACATATTTTTTTATACAAAGTAAAGGCATTGAATGAAAGATTGAATATCTTTAAGGCTTCAAACAAAAGGGTCGAAGTTGCTACAAAAGCTGTTTTCTGGCAGCTTGCTTGTGCTCGAAGTCTGCCAGAAAAACAGCCTTCGTAGCAACTTCGACCCTTTTGTTTGAAGTCTTACAGATATCCAATCTTTCATCCAATGCCTTGAATTTGTGTAAAACATACCTAATTTAACGTGGTAGAGACTCCTGGACTCAACTCGCATTCATGCTTCTCGAATTGAGCTCCAAAATAGGCTTCACAAACACGGTTGCAGACTTAGCCATTTCCAGGCAGTTTCCCAGTTTAGGCATAGCCTTTTGATGAGGTTCAAAAATGGTCTTCTGGACTTTCTATCGAGCTCTCAATCACTTCAATATGTAGAGGGACACTCCAGCTTCAAAACAAGTCATTAGTCTTCAATTTCCATCTAGCCAATTGTATGATATGAATATCCAAAGTAGGCACCATGGACTGTTTTTACATTGAAACAACAGATTAGGTCGACCTGATCCTATATGAGGTCGACCGAATCCTAAATGAGGTCGACCAGATCCTATATGAGGTCGACCGGAAAGTGCAAGTCACCGTGACATGCATGTCACCGTAGGCACACCCAAAGACTAATGGCTATTACTTTGACGCGTTACAAAATGTTTGGCTAATTCTTAGTATTTTGATCGGTTTGGCTAATAATTAAATCCAAAAAGGTTTGACTAATAAATAGTCATTACCCTGAAATTATTTATACATGATTTAGAGAAGTTAAGGTACATAAAAAATAAGAAAGGGTAATGTCTAATTTTTAACCAAACCTTTTACAGATTCTTTTATATTATTCAAACCTATTAAAATGCTATTAATTAGCCAAAACTTTC